AACACACACACACACACACACACACACATACACACACACACGTGCGCGCACACAGTCTTCGCCGTAAAATACTTACGATTGTTATGGTTTTACTTCAAAGAAACTGTTGATGGACAAACTTTTTAGGCTTGAGTTAACTTTTATTTTCTCTAATTGCAATTTTAAGGTATTGTTATTCACTTCCAAAAATTGTATAATAATTATCTTCAAATCAAATTTTATAAGACCATAGTAGTACCAATTTAAGCCCAGAGCCTGCAATGACATCATTTGACGTCACCGTAATTGTAGGATACATTATGATAACCAAAGTTAAATGACGTCACGGCGAGCAAGTTTACACAGAGCTATTTTTTAAAAATCAGACACCCCCGTGAGAAATAAGTTGCGCAGTTGATTATTTTTTTCTCCCGTCTAAAATTGAACTCGCACATAGATCTATCTGCCCCACAATCCCAGAATAAACAGTGTCTCTTCTGTTTACTCTGTGACGTCAGCCGACCCTATTTTCAGTGTTGGGGATTTCCGAACTGTGTGAAGCCAATCTACTTGTCCCCTTTGACTTATTCAAACAGACGAATGATATCTCGGAGTCTATGGCATTGCACAGTGCTTGTCAACCGTTCAGTTTAGTTTGGTAAATGTTTTACCCCTCCTGAAACTGCATAAAGTTATATGAGAACGCGGGACACGAGTTGATCATTTCCACCTCAATTTCGTAGCATGGCTAGGTTTTTCTTTGCGGGTCGAAATGGCCGAAGTATCTAAAACTATGTATGGCAACATTTCGTTTCAAAACAGCAATTTAAAAAGTAAAATAATTTGCATCTTTGACTGAAGAACCATAATCTTAATAAAATCGAGAATCCTGTTGGGATCATTTTGGGGAACAAATTCCTCAAGTTCATACATTGAAAATAATTCCTTCGGGTCTCTCCAGAATCCGTATAGTAGAACCGTATCGCATCGGGTATAAAATGTCTCTTCATCTCCCTGCAGGAGGTATTTATGTGTCGGGGAGGTATGTCCAACATGCAGTCTACTTGAAATAACTTGGTCTCTTCTGGATGGACCCGAAAATTTTTGTGGGACAAATTGGACATTATATTGTGGAGATTATTATTTACTTGTTCGCTCTAGTGTTCTTCACACAGACTGGAGGTGCACTTTCTTTAGCTTATTTTTAATGTACATCTGCAAAAGAGTGTTCTCCGTTGGTCCCAACAGATTCTTCTTCTGACGAAGATCGACCTGCTCGTTTCCCCGAATGCCTATGTGGCTAGGTAGCCATACAAAAACCTTATATTTTCCCTACCCAGTCAAGAATTGAATCCTCAACTGCAATTTAACAATTGTGAAGTTTAAACGTGTGAGCTTGGTGAGTGAAGTGAGGCAAAACAATGTATCACGCTGAGTGAGAAAAGATGATTTGGGAGAATTTTCTATGGAGCCTAATGCCGTTTCAATGGCAGAGACCTCCGCAGAGGAAAAAATGGAGGCCTTGGAATGCAGCCTCCTCTGTTGAGTGTTCTTTCTGGACAGGGCGGCGGCGCCTATAGCTAAGACCGATTTAGAGCCATTTGAGAAGATTTTCTCTGCATCAGGACATTGTTGGATGAGTGTGTGTGTGTGTGTGTGTGTGTGTGCGTGTGTGTGTGTGTGTGTGTGTGTGTGTGTGTGTGTGTGTGTGTGTGTGTGTGTTTTTTAATTCGATTTTTGTGTGTTTGTGTCTGTACATGATTTATAGATGGTAGTGAGTTCTAAGTTTATTTTTGCCTTGGTGAAGTGCCAGGGAGGGAGGTCTGGGAAAAGTAACTGCTCTGTGTCTTTCTCTGACAAATGTATGTTTTGGAACTTCTCAAGGACTCCGAGACCGAAGGGTTGATGGATATTGACGTTGTTTTTGTATTGGCTTGTATGTCTGAATGAGTTTTAAATGTACAGCTGCGTGCTAGGTTGTCATGTGTTGAACTCTATTTTATGACGTAGCGTTGTGACAGTTCTTTTAGTCTAATCTGAGGGATGGTATGTTGACTGCGGCTTGACGGCTCTCCACAGGAGAAGTGCAGAAAATCCCTGGGCGAGGCAGAAACCTTGGTTTTTTACATGGTCTCTCATTTTCAGAACAAGAGGTCTTCCCGATCCGTAGACTTCATAGCTGTAGTCAAGCTTGGATCGGACAAGTGAACATCTAAAGTGGAGGAGGTGTTTTGTGTTCCCGCCCAACTCTGATAAGACAGAATTTTCAAGACGGTTAAGGCTCTTTTGCAAGCCACACGAAGGTCTTTAATTTGAGGGATGGAACTTAATTTCCTGTCAAAGATTATTCTGACGAAACTAGCCTTCTGGTGGGCGGGGATCCTTTCACTGTATAATGTCAAATCAGGTTGCAGTACACGTCTGCTGGATCGGCTGAGGTACATTGCAACCGTTTTTAACAAGGAAAACTTGAAACCGTTTTCGTTTGCCCAATTTTCAAGCTTAAACAGCTGCGTCTGCAACTATCTTTCCGTAGATCTTATTTGACGATTTCTGGATCGGCAGCATAGAAAGTTGTCGACGTATAACGATCTGTTTATGGTGTTTGGGGGGGGGGGTGTGGCTGAATTACGGGATTCATTTTTATTTCAAAAAGGAGATTAACATCTTCCTCCTGTTGACGAGGATCGGAAAGCGTAGGTTCGTCACGAACCTGGAAAGAACGGTTCTGTAGAAAATTACCAAAGAAGGCAGGGAGGTGACCGCGTAAGCCGAGAAGGGTACTGTTCCGCCCACCTACTTATTATATTCCGAGCAAAGGCACTAAATAATTCATGTGACTGACTACCCAGGTGAACCCCACCACCCACCAATATCATATTACCAAATCGCCCACTAATTAGCGATATTCAGGCGCTGGTGTAACAGATAGGCTCTTCCACGTTTTACGCAAAAGATGTGAGTTGATGATGGCTTTGATCAGATCGGTCCTTATAAACAGGGTTGAAACAGCCCACCTCCTAAAAAATGTGTCGATGGGAGGAGTAAAACATGAAATTACACTTGGTTGACAGATAATGTATTTTTTGAAAAGTACATTATTTTCACTTCCGAAAAAACAGCCTCCCTATTTCCTTTCCATGTGTCTCTCACAGTGACGACATAATGGGGCTATACTGTGTAATAATCTCTTCAGTATCCATCCAATATTTAGGATGCCATGCCGTGGCGCTTAATAAATTCTACACCCATCTCAGAGAACCAGAGTGAATACTATAGATCTGCGAATTTCTCAATACAACCCCCCCCCCCTGCAAAAAAGCGACTGAAAATATATGGTGTGTAACATTTCCTGTTTAGCAACAAGCCATTTAAGTCAACTGATCTCCAAGCACTGGTTCTGCCAAAAACAGCTGAACAAATAAAATATCACTTCTTAAGGTGATAGTCCCGTGAAAAACATTCAACCAAAATCGATGCCAAAGAAAATTATTCAGACTTATCTCTCTACATATTTAATCTTAAAATCTGAGACAAATATCTTCAGTTTGAAATGCATAAAAAGTAACAGGAGAGGATACCAATACCTATATGCATAATAGTATTGTAGATTCTGACACACACACAAAAAAAAAAGAACCTTCTGTAGATTAGGCATCTAAGATTAA